ATGTCTGTGAGCACTCCTGCAAGCTCCCCAGAATACGCTCTGAGAACACGCCCGGGGATGCCATCAGGGCCTGCAGCCTTGTGGACATTGATCCTGCTCAGCACCGCTCCTACATCGGTAGGGGAGAGAGTCAGGGGTTGGTGGTCTGGCGTCACGTCTGCTTTGGTTGTGGTTGTGGGGTTCCCTCGCTCAAAACGAGCATAAAAGTTGTTGAGCTCGTTGAGGAAGGAGACATCAGAGGATGCGGGGGAGGGTTTGGTGGTCCTGTAGTCTGTGATGGTCTGGAGTCCTTGCCACATGCGCCGGGGGTTGGAGTTGGAGAAGTGATAAAGGTTATTAAATGCTGCAAAAGAAGAATGGATTGGAATAAAAAAAAAAATACATATATTAACCTTATTTACTGGGAGAATAATGAATGATGCTCATAGTGAGTAAGAAGTAAACTGAGTGCATTTTTTGGACAGAGGTTCACTTTTAATGTGTTTGTATAATATAATACAGATACATAAAAAACACTCCCGCCACAGAATAAATTATTACAAATAAATTATTACAAAATATTAATAAAAACTATAAATATGGAGGCAGCTTTGCCTGTGGTAGAATGTATACAATGTATGAAAAAATCTTTACTGCAGATGCTAATTTTACTAATTTAATAATAATAATTTTGTGTTGTAAGATTTATGGGTTTCATGCTTTCATAGTGCTCCTTAGAAGAGCTTGACATTTTCTCAGGTGGTCCACACTGTAAAAAGTGTGAGAAACACTGAGAAGTGTCTGTGTGCTTTTGGAAAACATTTAAAGCTGCAGTACAGAATCTTTGAAACAAGCTTAACACACTTTTAGAAACAGAGCATCTGCTTCTCTTTACAGCTGCTCGCTCCACCAGGGCTGTTTGGCTCTTTCTGATAGTGAGCACATGTGATGCACGTACTGCGGCAGTCATACAGACAACTGGACGGTCCAAAGGTTGGCCGACCTGTTACTGGCTGAGGTTTCAGTAGAGCTGTGGCTGAACCACATAAAAATATACCATTAAT